AGGACACAGAATTTGTTGTTGTGAGTTGTGTAAGCTCCAAGTACTAGGCCTCATGGGATAGCTACCAGTACATTACAGTAGCTGTTTGTAGGATACGAAGATTGAGGAAACCCTTAAAACTTGTCCGATGAAGGGGTTGAGCAGCCAAGTTATGGGGCAAAGACAAATTTCACTGGAGGATTTTAGAAGGGCCAAACAGCATGAGAAATGAAGTCTGACACAGAAGAAGGGCTGATGCTTGTCCGGAATTGAGCACAGCCCACATCCCAATCTAGCATGCTTTGGCTACGGCTTTGCTTTTTTCTTGACTACATGTAACACACTACAGTGAGCAGCCACAGCCGCAGGGTTCCAAAAGCTGACAGCGGACTACTTCAAAAGGTTTGCTGTGGGGCGAAAGTGAAGGGGTTCAGGTGTTATGCAAGGACCCAATTTCACAGAAAACAATGCTTGGCAAACAGATATGCTGTACATCACTTGCAAAGAACCAGTTGCAAAGTATGTAACAATGCATAACATTTTGAAAAATAACGGAAAAGCAAATATCTGGGAAAGCAAATATTTGCTGTGCTTGCCAAATTTTCTGTGTTTGACAGCTCTAGGAAATTGGGCCCATGAGGGTAGAGGAAGGCAGATAAATGTAGTCTTAATGATTACAGGTGAATAGCTTGGAATTCTGCCAGTTTTCAAGTCTACCTTTTCTGCATTTTTGGTCCCTCCCACGTATCTCTTTAGTCACACCACCAACCTAAACATCTTCCAAGTTGGTTGCACCATAAAGTGGCATAAAGTGGTACTTTTTTTTAAAACTACATGTGCATGTACAAAAATTACATCATCTGGCCAGGGATACCTTGGTGAAACTAACAATCCAACTACACGTAACAATTAATCCAAGACAAATAGCTGCATTTGAAATACTCAAAGTCACTCAAAACTGTAACTGCTAATGATGACCTTACAGCAACAAATTCAAATTGATGCAATTCAATTTATCCATATGATAAAATATCATATTGAAAAACAAGGTTTGAAATTGAAATTATTATTCGCATGTTATTCCAGTTATTTCCAGTAAAACCACAATGTGTTATGAACAATGTTGGCGAATTAACATAATAAAAATATGACAGAACTGAATTGTAAAACAAAACAAAACAAAATAAAAATCACGAACAGAACAAAATGCAAAGAAAACAATAAAAACTATGAATTTGAGATAAACTGTTTCTTATAATCTATGGCCTTCCTGAGAGTAAGACAAGTACTGGCAAATAACCTGAGTGGCGACTATTCTGAGAGATCTTATGCTTTGTGGTGCTTGGCATCACGGATTGAGGGATCAAGACCAAGATGGCTGCAACAGACACTGATGGCGTGTGCATTTGCTGTTCTTTTTTCCCACATCTACTGTGCTTATTACCACCCACGCTGGGTGGTTTCGAGCAACAGGCTTGCTGGTTTCTGGCTCTACAGGCCAGATGAGTCACAAATCCGATAGTCTGGCCGAGTTTTGTGCAGCTGTACACAACTGGGGTTGATAAAATGTGCAAGTTAGAACTACCATGAAATTATGGTAGCAGTGCATGGAACTAGTGGAAACTGGACATACACATGATTATTGCTTGCAAAGTTCATTGTACGGCAATCCTAAGGAGGCAGCTCACACCGGTATGTCTGGCATCATGAACCAAAATAAAATTAAAAAAACACAAAAAAAACCTGATACTTAATCTCCCCCTGTAACTCCTCTCTCCAGTTTGCTTGTGAGCCACGTCTAAAGTCAAGAATCACAGCTGTCTGTTCCAGATGTTAGTTTCAAACATTTGATTAGGTACTCATCACAAACAGGGTCAAATTGCATTGAGAGGGTAAGCTGGGATTGTTGAAGAGATTGGATGTTTCGTCTTGTGAGGGTACATGTAGAATAAAGATGTGAAAGGCAAAATATGGCCCACCTGTGGTTGACCCACAGATACGATGAATCCAACTATGGTCAACCGCACACAATTCTACATCACTGAAAATCAACCCAGAGTGATAGGGTTACACAAGGATTTGGGGGTTGCCACAACTTGGGGTCAGATGTCAGATTTCTTCAGCAAAGTGCCAAAGAGGTTCATCTCTGTTTTGTTTTGTCTCCTGGTTGAATGCTTGGTGCTGACAGATATGACAGGGTTTGGTTCTGCAGACCGGATTGCAAGAGCAGATTGACCAGTTTTGCCCTTCTGGATCAAAAACTTCCTTCTTTTTCCTGAAAACACAGTTGTAACAAAATGTCTACAAAGGGAAAAAGGGCACCTGAAATTTCAAACTTCATGAGAGTTACCCGCAACCAGAGTACGGGAGGGTAGTGTCACATTTGCTGATCAAACATTTTCTTATCAGAAAATCTGAGGGTATGTCAAACTCCTGGCTGTGTGCCTGCTGCTCACAGGCATGCTCCCCTTTTCAGAAAAGTTCAGCTGTTGCTTGAGGGACCCATGATTTGCAGTATTCTTGTTTTGACTGAGGAACAGCTGAATCTATCTGATCAATGTCTTAATAGAGGTTGAACCCCCACAAAAGTTGGTTCAAGTAAATATAATCTACGTACAGCATAACCTCTGTACTGACGACACCCCACTTTGTCTTGATACGCATGTGCTTTCCTATGGTATTCAGTGGATTGTGGGCACTCAATGGCCAAATAGGAAAGTGCATGTGTAAACAAAGTGTAACGTCATCAGTAGACAGGCCTACAGTGTATTTGATGCCCAAGGGTATCAAAAGGGATGGATTACTGTGATGGGAAAACACCTGCTTATGGACATTAAATGAACTGTAAATGCGAAAAATTGAGGAAGCAGTTAACACATAGGAATAGGAAACCAAAGTAACAAATTGTGGCTGGCTCTAGCAAAACCCAACACTAGGGGGGTGAAAACTCCAATTCGGAGTTTGGGATCACAGCAATGTATGTATAAGCAACAAACTTTCATTTGATGTGTGTTGGGAGAAGTGTGGATGACACCTGACAAAGACATATGGAACTTGAAATTACAGCTGAGATAGAATTCTGTAAAGTTGCAAAACAATACAAATATTGTGTAATGGAAAATGGTAAGAAGTGTCAGGTTTTGCCTGAGCCGGTCACAATTAACAAACAAATGTGACAAAACACTGATTATTGGAAGTGATTTGGAAAGGACTAGTGACAGTATTTTAGAGTGATGTCCCATTCGAGCTGCAAGATTTCTCCCCCCCCCCCAGCAACTACATGTATGCTTTTAAGGGTTCTTTTGGTGGAGTATCTTAAACTTGGGGAAATCAACTACAACTGTACTTTCTGAAACATTTGCAGTGAAAAGCATTCCTCAGAAAAATTGGATTGTTTATCATTCATTACCAAACGTGCTGAATGGTTGATTTGCTCCATGTTTTATAAAAAGGACTGTTTGCACACACACACACGCACTCACACATACAAATGTAAATTTTGTTTTGATTTCCTTTTGATTTTCATCTTCTTCTAGAGGCTTTTCTGAAAAGAAAATACAGGACATCATCTCACCCATAAAATGAAAAGTCTGCGTTAATCCTCGCAGTGTCGAATATGATACAAGTTTAGTCAGCATATATTGAGGCACATGTAGCAGAACTGGAGGGTTAGGGTGTGACTGTAGGGGTTAAGACAAGGCTGCTTAAAGAGAGCTCAGAGAGAGAGAGAGAGAATTGAAATGGACTCACCATGCTCTACTAAAACTTCTGTTACTACAGTAACGGGTGCAAAACAGGAAGAAAATAAAAAAGACAAAGATGATGATGTGAACACAGTGACAGATTGCATTGACAATTGTCCACACATGTGCATAAGAGCCACACATGTACCGGTACCGGCCTGGTTAAGTAACGTCTACAGCGTGTCTCGAGCATCTAATCTCTGGACTGCCAAACCTGTGTTCTGCGGTACCAACCCTGATACACAGGTACATCCGGTTCGTAACTGAGACGTCGCTTCAGTTTAAACCACGCCTGCTGGACATGCACTGCACACAGAGTTATGTGCACTGATCAGCGATTACATGGAACCACAGACATGGAACTGTGGTACTGGAAGTTAACATGCAACTTTCAGAGATTGTTCAACTTGAGCCTGCAAATGTGAGCTTACAAAATGTTGACTGTGATCAGACTTGTCAATGTCTTTGGACAGCTGAGCACTAGTCACAAGATGTACACGAATAAGCCATTTGCGAGTTAAATTTGAATAAAATCTGGTACAGTTCTTTAAATTCACATGAACATAACAACTTGAATTGTCCATACCAAAACCACTGTTGCTATACCTCGTGATTCGGGGTAAGCTTTTGCTTAGTTACATAAGAGACGCCTTGCAACAATACACTGTTCTCAATGGATAAGAACGGCACAAAGGAACCAGTCAATTCCAGAGATGGTGATCGCTATGCAAAAGCTTGCCCCGAATCACGAGGTATAGCAACAGTGTCTTTAGTCTGGGGAATTCAAATTGTTACGATTCTATGCTATCAGATAACACAGTGTACCAGATTTTATTCAAATTTAACTCGCAAGTGGCTTATTCATGAAGATGTCTCCTATCCACCTTCCACAAAATGGCTGGTAAACTCATTTTATTTGGCACCATTTTACTATGCTTAATCAGTAAAACCTTCACCCCCGGCCATTCATTAAAACTGTCCCACATTGATGCCCTTGGATGTTCTGTTAAGGATGCCGGTACAGGGGCTGCTTGAAGTCAATTCCCTGCAGCTTGAAGTAATGACAAGTTGTGCACACAGTGGAAATGGTCACATTTGTCAGTGTTGCCAGGAATGATGATACTGGACAGAGACCAGCATGACAGAATGCTGGATACATGCTGGATACCAGAACACCTCAGTTCAGTTGATACTGTAGTGGTGCTGAATTTCAGAGGTTCACAGTTCCAATCTCAATTCAGTCACCTACATGTACCTCTTTGTGCAACAGGCAAGTTCATGAACTACATTAAAGTGACCCAGTCAGTTTCCCCTTTTATGGTTTTCCCGACCTACGATGTACGTGTACAACCAGACTTCCATGCCATCAGAGGGACAAAATTGTCACAAGAGGCAAACAAGCACACAACTGTTTGCAGTCGTGAAAAAAGTACATGCACATACTGGTAAAATTGCACAGATCTACATGTATCTGTCAGCCATGAGCACAATAGACTTTAATGGAAACCAGCACAAAGCACAGGGGATACAACTACATGTAGAGGTAGGAAGGCCATGCAGACCATCATCAAGCTAGAACGGCATGAACATGTATATGTCTTCATTACCTTGACAATCGCAACATTTCACGTACATTTACATGTATGCCACAAAATGCTGCGTGTAACTTGTGCATTATAAAACTGCAGTGGGCATTTGGGAGAGCCAAAATAAAGAAAGAAAAAGCTCAACACAACATTTTTTGTATCGGCACAGTCAACTTTCGACCAAGTTCACCATTTGTGTACACTGCCCACAGAGTTTACATCAGACTACTGGTATGATAATCACAAATGACAAAACACCTGAAAAACTGCTGCTTGGTTTCTGCTGAGGCTAGAGGTACCAGTACAGGACCAGTGAAATGACCCTAACAACGGCTGACTGTGTGTGTAGTATGCACACTGTGATTTGTTCACTAGATCTATAGTATGTGCATGATTCTGGGTCTCGCAGTCTGGGAGGTAACACAGGCAACTGGCAATTCAGAGTGGGCCCAATGAGAGTTTACTGTCAAAATGATAATCAACCAATGTGGAGCAAAAAAAACAGAGGTAAAATATAAACAAACCCGGGTAATTTCAGTAAGGGTTTTGGCATGTACATGTAACAATGAATGGATACAGACGGTTCCCTCCACGTACCGGTGCCCTGCCTAAAGAGCGGCTGGGTTGTGATGGACTTGCAAGGACTTGCGATGGACTCAACTACAACACTGTTTTTGAGGCAAACACTCAGTTTGGCACTGTCCAGTGAATCATTCCCTTTGGCTTACTTGTACATGTACAATGAACAGACTGCGCGGGGACCATCTTTCAAATGAGTGCTACCAGTTCATGTACATGTATGTTTGGCATTCCCTTTCTGCAGTACTACATTTTAAACAGAACTATGCAAAATTTCACAGGCAGAAACAGCTTTACATCCTCAAAAAAAAAAAAAAAAGTCAAAAAGGCATTTGATTAACTAGGTCTTTGTACATGGACATGCATTGCGGGTGTGCATCAGATTTTATCTATTTACAATAAGAGCGACAAGTTCACTTTTACATGTGGGTTGGAGAAAAAATACCTTTGAAATTTATCTTGAAGCATGTTGACTTTTTTCTTGCAACCACAAAACACTCAAGCAACAGCTGTGAAAAATACCGCCTTCAACAAAAGCCATAGCTAATGGACACACCACACTAAAAGCACTGAAACATTACCAGGGTTAGAAGTCTTAGTTGATTTAGGTTGGTAGGAGACTAGAAACAGAGCAGGTGAACAGAAAGAGAAGTACATTAACAGACACACTTCCTTCATGGAAAATGAACAGACAAGAACTTTGACTCCGGTGTATACCCTAGTCTACTGCAACATACATGTACATACACGTGCCTACCTGCTGATGGAATACAGCACTCAAATGTGCCCTGCTCCAGGAAAAGGTGATATAAGTCGCACCGTGCATTTACGAGCAATGACCCGCTCAATGTTGGATTCAAAATTCCTCTTTTTCTGACAAAATCCTTGAAAATGCTAATTCCTTAGTCCTTGTGCGAATTTTGAAGGTGGTTGTAACACAAGAACATGTTGGTTGCTAAGTAAGATTTAAATGCCTACAACCCACATCAGAGCCAGACATTTCAAAGCCTGTTTTCTAGGTTTTGCAACTTCAATTGCCTGGAACTAATTAATATGCAAATGTGTCATAACTCCGGAACAGGAAAGGATATGGAGCTCTATTATATATCAAATGAAAGCTTATAATGTGGGCTTTCCGGTCATGTATATAACTTGATTTTTTTCTTTTTGGGCAATTTATATCACCTTTTCCTGGAGCGGGTCACAAATTTTTTATTAATGATGTTCAGCAAGTACTTGTACACTCCCTGAATGGTGAACAGAAGACGTTTTAACGACACTCAGATGTCCATGCTAAGGTGTACTCCTCCAATGCAGACAACCAACAAATTTGTAGGAATTCAGACGAAAACTGGCCACGCATAATGCATGTCGTGTGAGCGATCCAGTACATTAACACCTATCTATACAAGACTCTTCGGGAATTTTAATGTTCTCTAAAATTCCACATACAGTTTTGGTAAATTCACACGTGATGGAACAGCCCAAGTCATTGTTAATGCTTGAAATTTACTGATCAGTTTCTTTTTGTTTGGAGGAACTAGAGTTAAGAAATATCCAAGGAAAAATGAAGACAAAGTGCACAAAGACAGAAATGTCAGTTCGAGCAGACTGAGTGCAGTAACGTCGCCACTTACCATGCTCAATCAAGCTCTCAGCCCGGGTATACCGCCCCTGCAGTGCTATCATGTGAAGGGGCATGCGGCCTTCTTTACAGCGGACGTTGACGTTGGCGCCCTCGCTGAGCAGGATCTCCAGGCACGTGCCACCGTGGGGCGACACAGCCGCCAGATGGAGAGGAGACTAGAATGAGGTCAAAGTGGGAGTGGAAGTATACTGTACAAACATACCGCGAGAAGGCATTTAGACTCCTTTCATGTCTGCAGCTTTTGTGGAACTAGTACACTACAGGGCCATTTTGGTCATGATAAATGCACCTCAATTCTAAGACACCGAACAAATTTTCTGCACTTGTATTTACAGTTTGCATCCTGATCTTATGTATTAGAATATACCTCTGAAAATCTTCACTCCTGAATAAAAAAAGGAACTATTAGAAGTTCTTAAATGGTGAATATGATTAGCTCAGTTGACAATTTCGAACATACATTTTCACCACAAAAAGAAAAAATTGTTTTCCAAATAAAATTCAACTATTTCCTATAACATAAAGTTTTAACACAGGTTACACTTTTAAGTGTGACTAGTTTTGGAGGATTCTTGGCTATTTCTGGCAACAGTTTTCACACAGATACAGTTTGTAAGTTCACAAGTTCTTGTTACCTGTCCTTTGTGGTTCAGCACGTTAATATCCACACCATGTTGGATCAACTCACGCAGCACCAGGTCGTTGCCATTCAGGCAAGCAATGTGGACGGGTGTGTTTCCATTGGCATTCACCACATCAGCCTGTAAGAGTCAGCAACCAGACTTGTGACCACGACAAAGGAACTTGGTTCTATGATCTGAGACCTGCTTCTACGAAGCTGAAATTTACAAGTAGGCAGCTGGCAAACTGCTTCGTAGTTTTGCGAAGTCAGAGTTGACTTTGAAGATTAATGCTTTAAATAATAATGCATTCGATAAATCACAGTGAGGGCACAAAATTGCTTAGATTTGGGATCAAGAAAACTTTACAAAAAAGGTGAAGCATGGTGGTTACAAACTAGTTCTTGACATGCAAACAGTCCAACCAATATTAGACACATGTATCCCAAGTTTTGTTCTCATTCAAGCATGTTTTCCATGAAATCTTTAGAACGTGAAAACTTTCATTCCATCCGGCACTTTTACCCGTCAGTCATCATGGTCATCAAAGCATTTGTGTTTCACAGGATACCATGAAAGAAACTTTAATACATCAGGGATGAGATTGACCAATAATAAAATAAGCCGAAAAGAGCTGAACAAAGGCATAAAGAAGCTGAACTGAGAAAATCTCCTATACTTTTGTACACAGCCAGTGTACAAGAACAAAAATCCAAAACAAAAAGAAAATGAAATCAGCTAAAAAGCTGAGAAATCTCACCCCCGATACAGGTAGAAGCCAACAGAGTGAAAAAGCTGACGTGAGATGTTTGAAACTTGGCAATGTTTACATGTACATTTAATGAACGGGTAATAATTTGTGGGAATGTTTGTACATGTACATGTGACGGTTAGTGTGTAATGGGTTAAATGGAACTTTCTCAACGTATGAAACAAGCTGTTTTCGTAATGCTTACCACCAGAAGCTGAGGTGAAGAACTCTTCTTTGACTAATTCCACATGTATTATCCTTCCTATGTATTCCCACAACCTCTATTCCTGCATACTCAATTCTGTATCTACACTAACGGTGCCATACATCTGTACTCTGGAACTTGATACACGAGGAACCGACCACAGAGCATGGAACCAAGTTCCACTTCATCAATTCCATTAAACCTGATACAACCTTTATCAAACGTCAGACGGAACTGTGAATTGTCATGAAGTGTATTGCTTGACCCGTGGTCTCGGTTAATTTCATCGTCAAACTTGAAATTTGGCCAGAGATTCCCTCCGCAACATGTGCAAAGCACAGGAGAGCTAACAAAGTATATTTGCATTAACATTTTTCTTTCTCTAAATTCCCTGAGTTTCCTGACACTGATGGTTGTCAAGTACCTCACCCCCAAACTATGGTACATGTACCGTTTACAACCACAGCCCACACCACATCATTAGGTTAGTATCACTCTTGGTTTATGCCACCAGTTTTCACTGCTCATACCTGGTATGCATCTACATGCTTTTGTAGGACCTACAGCCCAGAGTAATTAATTACCCTGGTACAATTAATTAGCCCAGCAGTGTACATAAATAAAAAATCTGAACACCATGTCCCATGTTTGTATTTCAGTAAACATGCCCATGATTTTCTTTTCAATCCGGAAGATTGCAGAGGACACATGATGGAGTCCTAGACAGTGGTATGAAGAGTCACTATCTGCGACATGAAATTGTGGGGGGGGGGTTGAGTGCAGGGATGGACTGGGGCAACTGTTCTAACAATTTCATGCTTTCAGTCAAGAGATTTTTCAATTCTAGGTTTTGCCCCATTTGACCTAGAGCACCAGCACAGTGAAAGTAAGCCCGAGATTGGAAGCAGGACTTGTATATAAACTGAATGTGAATTGTGCAACCCCACAGGTACAGTACCGGTAAGGTTGAAATCACCATGGCACACCTACATGTAGGGTTTGGTGACCCAGCATGGAAAAGCCTTTAGACTTATCCCCTGAACATACAGAGCTGGCATAGCCAAAACGCACCTTGCTGTTTTCTCTCTCAAATTTCAAGCAGGATTTTCCCCACAAGACCCCAACAAGAACTTTACACACATGGCCCCACACATAACAGATGTACGCTTGCTTCAATGTCTCAGAGTGGATCAGTCTACAGGTGCCAAAGTGTCATGTGCATGATGAGTAGCATGGTCCACCTGTTATTTCATCATTTAATGACACCCTAAAAAGGTGGATATAAGGAGTGCAAAGGTACTGCATGCCCTCATTCCTGGGATATGGGGCATGCAGTACTTATAACAGTTAAAAACACAAACAATCCCACATGTATTGGTTACATTCCCCGTGCATTTCTGATAGGGCCTTTACTCCATCCTCCAAAATCCCTCACTGTGCAGGAACCCAAGGGCATATCTTTTGTTACAGCTTGAATTCTGCATCAGTATGAAGCAGCAGTGGCCAGCCTGTATCTTACTACATCCTGCAAAGGCCTCCCAAAACCTGGCGGATTCTGAAGGATTGGGGGAGGTCTAGGTAATGCAGTGAGTGACTGTTTGCCAATCTCCTGCCTGATAAATTGTGTGAGCGATTTCTTCAAGGATTAGATTTGCTTGAATGTGATGAACTGAATGAATACACCTGAGCACTCCCATGTATGGTAATGATTGGTCAGTTACTTACACTCTGCTTTTTGGTGCTCATTGGAGATCGTGTCATAGTCTGGAGTTAACAAAATCACAAACACATCCTCTACCATGAGTCTGCTGCCGTTTTTTGTGGTGCAAACGACTATTTTATGTTAGCTTAGAGTAATGCTGGGGACTTGACGAGAGTACGATCCTGAGCCTATACTGCCAAGTTTACTTACAAGAGAACAGTTAAAAGTACTTGGCCAGGGGCTTTGCTTAGCCATCGCTAGACAATAGGATGTCCAAATCAACCTTGGACCGAAAAGAGTCTAATGCGACTTACATGCTGTTACAGGTTCATTTGCCTAACAACATGGGATGTCCAAAATTACCCAAAAATGGTGTCCCCCAGACACCTGCATGGCTAAAAGCTTTTAAAGAGACAATCTCAGAATCTCAGGCCATTTCCTACTGGAGCATGTGTACATGTAGCTACAGACGACAGAGTACCAAAGTGTGATGTGATTTGAACCAGGAAGTGTAGTGCAAACGAACAGAGTACGAGGGTGTGTTGGTTCACGTGCTGGTTCTCGCGCTAATGCCTTTTACACACATAACTATGCGCGTGATGTACATGTATTCTTTTTGGTACCCTGTAAGCCTCACACTCCTGATCTCTGTGCTAGAGAATGGACCATTCCACCCGAGCATGCTAGGAACTACAAGTACATGTGCACTATTGGAACATTCCATCGAGACAGGAAGGCTCCATTTCCTTCCCCTAAACCTGTCATCCATAAAGCGATCCAGTGAGTGGTGTTAGTTACCATGGCTGTAACATTCATGACATGGATTTCTTTCACACATTTCCTTCATATCCATAATTTGAGTGCCTATTCTCATTTAAGACCGTATCATCTCACAGGAAATTTTTGGCAATGGTGATTATAATCCGTCACAGCAATTGCCGCAAGTTTAAAGGGTCTATGCAATACAATTATTTTGCAACAACCCTTGAAACTGCACCTGTGTTTCAATTAACCTTATCTCCAACTTTGGTTTTGTCATTTCCAAAGGTTTTGACACCAATTTTGGTTTTTACACTAATGCAAATTTCCATACACGGGGCAACCAGTAGTGTCATCCAAGGGAGAAAACCTAAATGTGCAAGGATTTATGCACAAATCCTGGACTGTTCAGATTTTAATGTCCTAAACTTCATTTCTTTGATGATACTTTGGTGTGTTACTTTCTTGTGTAAGTGTATGACAGAAGACATGGAGCAGTCCTTCCTCAGGACGTTTTCAACAGACAAAATTTGGGGTTCACAATTAGTATAGAACACGTAAACTTAATAGTATCCGCTCTGAGTGACATACGTATTTGTATAAAAGTGGCCTTTTCAAAACGCTTGACCCCAGGAGGATGTCAGACAGTTATCATACGCTGAAGAACACACAGGTGCAAATAAAAGTGCCGTTAAGTAAAACTCATTACCTGGACCCTTTCAACTTTAACCCCTTCATACCGGAGCCATCCACATATGATGCAAAATATGGGACGGAGAGAACACCCCCCCGCCTTTGTGTTGGTCAT